ATGAAGATGGTACGGTATTTAAGATTTTATTATTGTTATGTAAAGAGATGATAAAATTTCATGTTTTTTAGTATTTTCATGCTGGTTACATGGAACAAATTCTATTTGAGAATTGGATGCCAATGACAGTTGGACGTAAGTTATATGTTCCTTCATGTGGTTTTTGAATGTGATAGAAACCAGGTCCTTTCTTTTTCTAGCTTTCATCGGATCTTGGTTTGCCATATTTGTTATTGCAATACTCTACGAAGGATTAAAAACATTTCGTGAATATCTTTTAAGACGAGAAGCGCGCAGAGAATTTACAGAAACAGAAAATCGACGAAATGCATTGTAAGTGTGTATTTAAAGAGGATATATCGCTAGAAAACTAATTTTATTACTGTGGAGGAACGAATCAGTTAAACGTATTTTAGACATTAGGCAATCAACATAGTTCAGCTTATAGTCATGCCATATATGAATAGGTAGAAGTACAATATGTAGAGAACAGTTTTGGCCAGAAATCCTATGCGAATTGAAAGCTAATACAATTTTCTTGATATTATAATCAGTTCTAATCGAATCCCAGACGAAAAGAACAAATTTAAAAAGATATCCCTCGCTTATTCCTCCCACCCAGTGCTTAAAACCTCTTCTTTTTTTTGACAAAAAAATCCAAATAAATAAGAAGCGAAGTTTTTCTAGTTTAATTGCTGCTTATTGCTGCTCATGAAGAAAAAAAAGTAATGATTTGTGCTGCTGCTGTTTATTGGATGAATGAAGAATTACTACTACGTAAAATTGGTTCAAATTTGGTTGCTCGAACAACAAATGATTTTTACTTCAGACTACAGAATAGTGGAGGGGATTATGAACCTCCACTGAGTGATCAAACGCCAACAATCAATATAGAAAGGGTGAATTCAAAACGGTAAATTTTAATTTAATTAACTATTAATTTTTTCTTCTAAACGCTTGATTTGATTGCTTCATGCTTGTATGTAGAATAGATGCTGTACATAACCAAACCACGCTTTGCACCCTTCTTTGTCACATTTTGCATGCAGATAGAGTTAAACTATGCTAGCGATAAGCTGTGAAGAGATTTAATCGACTACGTAGTTTTGTCGAACGGTAGTTGATGTTTTAATTCTGATGTTCACTAGCAAATATCATTTTCCATCTTTCTCTGGATAAACCTAGAATATCACACGTTTTTGTCAGTTTTTATCAAAGCGCAGAAATTTTATCGAAAGCATGTTTTTAAAATTTCTGGATAACGGATAGTTATCATCGAAAAGAGAAGAAATATATTTCCTCAGCAAGCTACGATGCTATACTTTTCATCTCAAACACAATTAAGTTGAATGCCAATTTGTGTGCTCTTGTATTATCAAATACAACATCTCTCAGTGAACGACTCGATTTTTAGTAAATATTTCAAATAATAGTCAGACTACTGGAGCTACATATGATCTAACATTCTCCAACTGAAATAATTTGTCTTTTCATAACTTTTGCATACATATACGGCCAAAACTATCCGTACAGTATGTAGTTTCGGAGTAAATGAATCATAACTTTCTAAGGAGGCAATATTTCGGCATGGGGTTTTCACGCAACTGTTTCTCGCCGTGTCTACTATATCTGTAAAAGAATCAGTTTGAAACTGAGCGTGGTTTTAGTTTTGCGAAAACTAAAAATTTTCTGTTTTTTAGTAGTCTATTTTTCTTTACTGTTTCGCGATACAACCAGGAGTTCTGATTTCGAATCCTACCGTGCCGCAGTATAAACATCAATTTTTTGACAATCGCTTTTCTTTAAAAGTTTTTGTCCAAAAGTCTCAGAACAGTGTATAAAAATTTTCCGGTACACCTCTACAATCCTGCACAAAAAAGCAATTTTACAGGGTGACACAGAACCTTGGCCTCCCTCCCTCTAGAACATAAAGAACAGATAATATCACAATGTATTTATACCAAATTAAAGCGCGTCAAAAACTGGATTTATTGGCACTAAATAGTAAGGGTTATGAAGACGTTTTCATGTCGCACTTAAGAAGTTCTCAGAAATTTGATACTTTTTTGGTGAAGAAAAGTAAGATGCCAGTTAATCAAAAATGGAGTAAAACATTTTTCTTGGATATTTTTACATAGTTCGATAGAGCTCGTCAAGCTGTACAAAACTACATATTTCAAAATATTTTGGGCCATCGTTTTGAGATAAAAAGTTCGAAAAAACGACTTGGAAAATCTAAAAACATGCTCGAAAATTCATTTATTTCGTATGAATGAAAAACACACAAAAAATGTAAAAACACTCGATTCTTCAATAAAACTAACTTTTGTTCATTGTTTCTGCTGTCTCAGACGTTTCGAAATGTGCTCATTCGGTCTCGCGTGACGAAACTGCATCTAATGGGCACATTTCGAAACGTCTGAGACAGCACAAACAATGAACAAAAGTTAGTTTTATTGAAAAATCGAGTGTTTTTCATCCATACGAAATAAATGAATTTTCGAGCATGTTTTTAGATTTTCCAAGTCGTTTTTTCGAACTTACTTTTTATCTCAAAACGATGGCCCAAAATATTTTGAAATATGTAGTTTTGTACAGCTTGACGAGCTCTATCGAACCATGTAAAAATATCCAAGAAAAATGTTTTACTCCATTTTTGATTAACTGGCATCTTACTTTTCTTCACCAAAAAGTATCAAATTTCTGAAAACTTCTTAAGTGCGACATGAAAACGTCTTCATAACCTTTACCATTTAGTGCGAATAAATCCAGTTTTTGACGCGCTTTAATTTGGTATAAATACATTGTGATATTATCTGTTCTTTATGTTCTAGAGGGAGGGAGGCAAAGGTTCTGTGTCACCCTGTAGATTAGAGCCTGAGGAGACAGGTAAATTAAAAAATCTTGCACATACTACTACAACATTCTGAAAAATATGCAAAAAGTTGTCATTTTCTAAAATGACTATTTTTTATCTCAGATTTTTCACTTTTTCCGATAATATGTTCAGAAAGCTTTTAGACCTTCCCATGCCCGAGATACTTTGTTTTTTTGAAAAGCTCGACACAGGGCGGTTAGAGCGAAATTTCCGCGGTCGGGACTACTTGAAAAACTTTCTTCTCTTGAATGGTGCTAGGAAAGCCAGCTATCGAACGCTATCACCCTCATCCTTCCAAAAGTTTTATTGGGCGACAAAAAGCAATATTCTTCGCTGTACGGATAATTTTGGCTCACTAAAAGAAACAAAATGTTTTAGTTTTCACAGAACTAAAACCACGTTGAATTTTAAACTGATTCTTTTACAGATATAGTAGACATGCCGTGAAACAGTTGCGTGGAAACCCCGTGCCGAAATATTGCCTCCTTAGAAAGTTATGATTCATTTACTCCGAAACTACATGGTGCACGGATAATTTTGGGCGCACCTGTAGTACTTTGTGGCTTAAAACGTTTCTCAGGAGAAATAAAAATTAATTATCATCACATGAAACTACTTGAATACTCTCATTCTAAGTCGACACGTGTGAAGTTATATTTGTTTTGAATCAAACGAACTTATTTGTTCATATTCTGTCTTTAATTTTAGTGCCCGTTTATTTAGCGCAGCACATATAATTCAAAGTCTTTTGCACATAGTCCAAATGGCAATTAGTTATTTGCTGATGTTAGTAGCCATGACATTCAATGTTTATTTGTTTCTGGCCATTGTGGTTGGTTCGGGTGTTGGTCATTTCTTATTTGCGTGGAACCGGTCATCAGTGATTGATCGTAATGAACATTGTCACTGAAGTGAAAGAAAAGAGCAGTACGTGTTTATATCTTGTTCATAAACTTTTTCTGTGATCTCTTTTTGCTAAAATCATGATATAATGATTCGTTTTGTCTGCAGTTCATCTAATAATAGGTTATTTTCTGGTTTACTCATTAAGTTTATACCATGTACATAGCTGTGATTTGTCCATTTAGTTAACTGATATCAAAACTGAAATATTGTTCAAATTTTACGTTTTGTGAGTATATTATGTGATACGTAGAGTACGAATAAAAATAATTGAAGTAGAGCTCCATCATGTCAAACTGCTAAAACGAACTAGTCGTTGGATAATGGTTGTATATTGGTTGACCCACTATAGCAAACGATATGAACAAATATTCTCCTGTAAAATATCTTTACTTTAAATTAGTTTTTTCTTTTTTACATTCGAGTTCTATTCTAAATAGGGCGTCAATAATAACTTTGATTTCAGGCGGTGATTTCTATCAAATTTCATAACTCTGCTCAAAGCCGTCTATTTGATTTGTTTTTCATTTTGTTATTAATTACTCTGAAATTATTTTTTGTGTTTGGTGACAAATAAGTAAAACCTGATCAAACTTCTGTCTAGTATTTTTTTATTGATGTTTCTCTTGTTTTTTGCAATGAAAAAAATAATGCATTTGTTTTAGTTTGCTGTTGGCGACCTCTTGCAGATAATCACTGGATGCGTCTACCTTCTGGGACGTTTGGGGCAGAATGCCTCAAACAAAAGTAGCTGGGACGCTTTTTTGTTGAAAAAATTCATTTTCTAGGTGGTGGACTGAAGGTTCGACCTTCTGAGGTGGTACAAAAGGCCT